GTTCATAGAGTCCTTCAAATGGTTATTTTGAATTATAAGTCTGATTGGAAAGATATAAAGGTTTTTATGAATACATTATTACTCCCTGTGAAAAAACAACAGCAAAAAAATACTGATTTTAGAGGAGGCTAATCTGGAAAACAGGAGCATAAATGAAAGGAAAGATCCAGAAGAGTTTATACCTGAAATAGAACCTAAATGAGATCCAAATACTGACAGGGGACAGCTAATGCTTATACAGAACAAACAGTTAACATAATACAGGGTACAACATGCAGTACCCAAAACCCCAAATACCTCCAGATTATACAAAGAGCCCAACTGAGGACCCATCAGCATTTTACATGGGGTTATTTGAGACAGCTAGAATATTGTCTCGTTTGGAAGGGGAAGATTAAAAAAAAAACTATGTTTAATATGTTGTGGACAGTCAGCTTCTGATAACCAAAAGAAGTTGCAGAAAGTTGACAGGATTTCAGGGATGTCTATTTCACAGCTGACTGAAATCACTTGTAAATTATATAAGAATAGGAAGTAAGAAAGGGAAAAAAAAAAAAAAAAAGACGACAAAACAAAAGGATAAGTAAAAGAGATATAAAATGCAGGTATGGTTCCTGGCAGAGGCTGTAGTTCAAACCACAGATTGAAGAGCAACATTTAGAGGAAGATCTTGGGAGTAAAAATAAACTTGTGTGGCGTGACTAGCACAGCTGGCAAGAAGGGAGATTAGCCCTACCTTTAGCTGACCAATTGTAAGCCAGTGGCTGCATCAAGGTAGTGGCCAAGTGATAAGAATATGTATAAAAAAATGTCACGAATATCCCAGGGTGTGTTAGATTTGTGGGAGACCACCTAGCACCCACACTTGTGCAACTCTGCAACAGAACAGTATCTCATCTCTGTGTGTGAGATTGACTTACTGCACATCAGGTGATGATTTCACCAGTTGGACAACATTACTTCCACCAGTTCCGATAGTAAAGTATTTTTAAACCATTCCTCTACCATCCTTTGGGAAACACTCGGGGTACACCCACCCACACTGGCATTTTTGGTTTGAAGCAGAAGCCTACTTTCTAGCCACACTTTTCCTCCACTACCATTTAAGGTACAATACAGAACAACCTATTTGCACACGTGCTGTGTTCTTCAAGGACCCAATGCAACTAGAAGTTGAATGCCAGGAACGCATCTCATATGTTTCATTGTCAGTGATGGTTAGCCACAGAACAAGTCTATCCTCTGAGGATCACAAACGGGTCAAATTTTCATCAGAAAGACATTTTCTTTCAACAGCCAGCTCTAGTAACAAAGAGCACAAGTCATCAGATATTTAAAGTGACAAAACACCACTCCTCATCCTCTCTTAGTCCTGCATCTGCCTCACCTGCCAGTCTGGCCTCTTCTGCCAATCTGCCTTCATAGCCCCTGTCTTCTGCTCTCTCTCTGTCAAGGTGGGGATGTAGCTTTGCTTTCCTCTGCTCATGCTGTAGCCCACGTGCAGAAAGAGACTTGAGGACATCACCATGCTGTGGGTGTGGGCATCTCACACACTGCCTCTGCCATAGGACCAGCTGTACTTCAGAAACAAAGAGCACTAGGGTCATCAGAATGCAGTGGCACGATGAAGTTGTGGTTGCAAGAACGCACTTTCTGTGGGGAAAAAAAAAAAAAACACACATTGTGGGAAAGCCCTTAATGAACTTACCATCTGTCACAAACCCTGAGGCAGGTTAATCGTTAGCAGAATAGATAATAAGATGCTTACAGCAGCATATATAATTAGAAAACCTCCAGTGTAAAATGTTAGTGCCATCACAAATAAGGTTTCAATCCTTCATATACTGAGTCACCCTTATTATTACCAACAAGCCACATCAGAAACCTTGTCTGCTGCCATTTAATATGAGCATGTTCTGCATCTCACTGAGAGCCTCACTGAGATGGGCAGGGGGGACCACCATGCAACCAGGCAGGCAGCACCGCTAGATGTCAGCCCGAGCTCACAGAACAGCACCACTCTGACTGTACAGCAGCTTCAAATCCCCAGCTCAAATCCCCAAGGCTTTCCTAATTACAAGTTTCTTACTTCAGATAGTTACCTATGGTGTCACATTTCTCCAAAGCCAAAAAAAAAAAAATTTTTTGGCTGGAAAAAAAATTATATACTACAATTTAGTTTCAAGGCTTCTGAATCTCCAGCCAAATGGATAGCATAAGATTACAAGTTAAGAATGCAGTTTGAGGCCACCTTAAGAGTTGAAAACAATGTTGTTCAAACACAAAACTTAAAACAAGCTATGAGTTTACTTCCCTATGCTGGGATACAATGAAGGGAAATAGACTATAAGGTCCTGTCAGACAAATAACACACCTGGCATGTCAGATGTTTTTTTTTACTTATTACTAAAGCAGTAGTAGTGAAACTGCTGTGATTTCAATAAGGAAACTGCAAGTACAATAATCATTGTAGGGGAAAAAGAAAGAAACTGGAAAATCAAATGCATCCTCCACTGCCTGCTAGCATAATATTGATCCTCCTCTCTTTCTCCTGTAAGTCAGCTCCTGTTTATTTCAGCCAGGTACACTGCAGCATGAACACTAAGGGGTCTGAATGGCAAGCTGTGTTGTTCTGAAACAAGCTTCACCTAAGAACGTGCAATGCAGAAAGCAGATCCATGTTCAGTGTCAAAACTATTGATTTTGAGCTGTCAGCTCTACACTAATAGTGCTGCCAACTGCAAGCACTCCAAAGTTTTCTACAGACGTCTTGTGCTCCCTTGCCATTTCTTCCTCTCTGCTCCAGATCTCAGACAAGTCCGGGATCATTTGGTTTACTTTTTGTGCTAGAATTGTTAAGATTATGGTTGTCACGCTTCCTTACGTTTCTAAGGGTAGAAACTTGGACTTTGCTCTAAAAATGAGAGAGACCTTCAAGTAATAATCAGGCTTCAACAATGGGAATTTAAAATTAATCAAACTTGGTGACACTTGCAATAAAATGATGAAAAGCGGCGTACTGAAAATAGAACCAAGCAATGATTAAGAGAACGAGCAGAAATGGAAAAAATCCCTTGTAGAGGGAGGGACTGCAGTACCTCTGCCCTTCTGAGCAGAGACACCATCTCTCGCAAAGTGAGCACATCCAGCATGCTTTCTTTCCTCTGCTCAGCATTCATACAGTGAACAAAGTGCCCTCAGACAGAGCCGGAATGGCTGCATTTGTAATATCACATCCCCGGTGACTACTGAACGAAGTCACAAGTCTCCTTTGGACAATTTAAAAGAGGATCCTGCCAATATGTTACATGATGAAGCTATAAACTGATCAAGCCTGTCATACCAGAGTTCAGGTTGCAGCATAGGCCACCAGTGCTTGTGAGATGACAGTTTTACACAGTGTCACCATATAAAACAAGTACCTATGACACCGGGCAGACAGAGAGTGCTGTAAAGCTTCATTAAATTGGAAGCCACTCGACAGTTGTACATCAGAGACTGAACTCAGCAGACAAGTAGCTTCACCAATACAATGCTTTTCCACAGCCAGATGCTTTACAAAGACCACACAGTGGTTCACAAACTGAACCCTTATCTTACTTTCCTTGAAATTAGGTTGTCAAGCAGACAGACTCCATGCCTCCCGAAAGCCTGCTGAGTTGTTTTCTGCACAGAAGAGATGACCAACCAGAGCACAGACTCTGAAGAGGGCTAGAAAAAGGCAAAAAGAAATACATGCTGCCCACACACTGCCACGATGGCCCCAGGCTCAATGTAACTGCTGAAGAAGCCATAGCAGGATGTTTTTCTCTGATAGGCCAAATGTTGTCCTTGGTGCATGTTCAGACAGGGCACTGGTGTGTGTGTGTGTGTGTGTGTGTGTGCATAGTCCCTGCTGTATGCATCCTGAACTGGAAGCATTCTGTGTCCCAGCTGTTGCACCTGTCCTAAAGCATCCATAGTTCACCTCAGCTGGCTGAAGAGCAAACAGGAGCTGAAAGCAGCCATGTGTGCCAGCTTTGTTTGCAGGGTCGTGCATTAAGGGCTATGCACAGTGTCAAGGACTAAAAGCACCACAGAAGTCCACTCTGTCCTGGACTTTTTTTTGTGGAGAAACTTAAATCTTCATATATATTTACATAGAACTGGGTACATTAGTTAACTGTGAGCAACTGGGATGAAGCCTTGCAGGAAAAACTTGTGTTTTCCAATAACAATTGCTAGAACTCACCACTTACATTGCTGATATCCACACTGCAATTTAATCTGCTTTGTCTGCTGTTTGCAAACACTGACTGCTGTGTACTCTTCACATACTGGTAACTTCAACCATGCCCACGGGTGGGATGCATTTCCAACACTCGTCTTGGAAATCTGCTTTGAGTAGAACTCAGAAATTCGATATACGCAGCAAAAATGCCATTTAACACCAGTGTGCGACACAACCTGCCCACCCCGCGGGACAGCGATCCCGACCTTCTGGAAGGTTCTCTCAAGGCAGAGGCGGCGCGCCCCGCGCTGAGGTACGGCTCTGTCCGACCGCCAGAGGGCGCTCCGAGCCACCCTCACGTATTGCACCCATCTGCCCACTAACCGTGTCCTGCAGTGCCGCATCTCCACATCTGAACACCTCCAGGGACAGGGATTGCACCACCTCCCCGGGCAGCCTGTTCCGAAATGGAAGAATTGATACACCTAACTGGAAATATTATCAGAGCATCTTTTTTGCCCCTTGCTCACCATCTCCCCCCATACTGCCAGCACAGGGAATGAGGTGGCTTCAGAGGGCAGCACGCTGACCTTTCACACAGCGCTTCCCCACCTAGAAAACAGAATCATAGAATGGCCTGGGTTGAAAAGGACCACGATGCTCATCCAGTTCCAATCCCCTGCTATGTGCAGGGTCGCCAACCAGCAGACCAGGCTGCCCAGAGCCACATCCAGCCTGGCCTTGAATGCCTGCAGGGATGGGGCATCCACAGCCTCCTTGGGCAACCTGTTCCACTGAAAATAAACCCAATATTTGCAGAAATGTGAACAACAACAACATGAGGTATTCAGAGAGATGCTTCAGCTCAAGCACGCCCCATAACTATCAGCACTGAGGGCAGGGATTGCTCCTTACACAAAATAATGCTCATGGTTTTCTTTCTGCCAGTTTGTCCACTGCAGTATAACTCTTGCAAGAAAAACCATCAAGTCACACATTGCTCAACAAAGGAAGGGCTTTTTCAATGTTTATTTAATATGTAGATAAGGTTATGGAAGGAAAATGCAGATCAAGTCTAAATTCTACATATAGTTTGTACTACTCAAAATAATGCAAAGGCTTATAGAGGCATTCACAGGTATACGCAGGTAAATAATTTCTAAAGAATAAATCCCACATAAGACTATTTCCCCATCCCAAATCACTGCCTTTAAATCAACTTTTGCACTTGAAAGACAACTTATTTTACAATTAGGTATTAAAGAAAAAAAAAAAGCTGGTGTTCGGTGAAGGGTTCCAAGTTTCTTTGTCAGCATTTCTTGATAGCACCCCGGAGATTACCTAGCCATCTTCAGCACTACTCACAGAAGAAATCAATGTCCTGAAAGAGAGTTGAAAGGAAAGATGTTTTAAGATTACTGAAGGATTAACATTCCTTTATCATCCCCAAAGGTAGATAAGTAGATGCAAACACTGAATACACTAATATATTCAAAGTATGTTCTCTATAAATTAACTCCACAGAATTCTGGAGAAGAAAGCTTTCCTTTCTTTCAACTCCTTTTATGTGGCTGGGATGATTTGTTCCTGACAGAAATCTTTAAAGTGAATTGGGTGATGCCATGTTCTTTCTTTTTTCAAACAATTCCTTTATCTTTCTGTTTTGTTTTCCTACATCCACTCTCGGATTTGAGTTGCATGTAACCCCTTATCCTTAAACTATTCCTAACCAGACATAAAAAGGATGCCTTAATTTGGCTGAGGCTATGATTCACTTGCTACAGAGAAACCTGAGTAGAAAAAAAAAAGCTTGCATTTTGCTTGAAAACTTCCAGCAAGGGATACATTTTCATAGCATATGCTTTCATCTAGCCTTCTGCTAGTATTTTATCCGGCTACATAGCTCTCATCTTGATTATAGTGCAAGGAATTAACAACTTGTATGCTCAAACTCAGCAACATCTACATTAAACCAGCCTATCTCACATAACTATCCACTGGAATGTGGTTCAGAGCAAAGGCTTACTGATATTAAAAATACTCTCATTTTAGCCAGCAAATGACCAATTTAAAATCATTGAAGGATGGCAAGCAATGCAACACCACTCAGTAGTACACAGTCTATTGCAAGGAATCTACCGTATTCAGTGTGACTCAGAAGTAGCAGCACTGGGAAGGAAACATTGTATAAGATTTATCAGTTGGAACAGCACCAATAGGTATGGGTTGCCTGGTGTTGCAAAAAGGATGCTGAGAGAAGTTCACAAGCACTAGAATTTATTAAGAGGGTCTGCTGCTGATGACATACACTGACTCCAGATCTGACAGTTACTATGGGGAAAAACAAAGAAGACAGAGGCCCCCCATACTAACGTCCTCTTTCATGCTCCTCTTTAGTGCAGCAGGTCCCCCCCCATCAAGATACCTATCAAGTTGCCAACTCAGTGCTTCCAACGGGCAGGAACTGCATGCTGCTTGATCATTAAGGTTTGGGCATCGCCACGTCCCATAGTATAAATGAAACATTAAATGAAAGGTTAGGGAAAAGGGCAGTTGGAAAAAGTGGTTCTCAAACCAGTGGTAACAACAGCAACAGACTTAACAGATTTGCGGCCAGGAAAGCAAGGTACAAGCATCAGCAGCAGCTAAAATGAAGGGTAGCAGAAGTGCAAACATAAGATCAGCTACAACGTTGCAAATGGAAGGCTGGTGGTAGCATTAGAGGCACACAAGAGCTGTGCAACAATAGCTCCTGTGTAAAGCAGTACCCTACAGGATACTGCTACATGAATCGTTCTGGTCAGGTAGAGATCCATTAAGACCTGCTGTAAACACTTTCAAATGCAAACTTGAAGTCAGATCCTTTAAGCTCACATTTGCAACATACAAAAGAGAAGAGAGGAACAAGAATCCACCTCTACCACCATCAGGTTTTGCTGTGAAGCTCTTGCATAGCAAGAATGTGAACTAAGGGTGAAACAACCATGAAACTCCTTGTGTGATTAGTTTTGCTGCAGAATTTCTACTTGCCAATTAAAGTTCTGCAGTGTAGGCTGGCAATAGCAATGGCCCATTCTGGACCCACAGCCAGCCTCCAGACTAAGACATGACTTTAACCTACCTCTGTTTCCAGCTCAGCTTGCCATTCAGCAGAATGACTGTCACACCGTTGAGAAAAGAGCTTAGAAACGTATTTTAGTCACACAGAACATGAAAGAATGACTAATTGCTACGATGCTGCTGGCCAAATTCAGAATAACCTAACAAAGCGTCAAGAACAGCAATCACATGTTTCAAGATTTGCATTTCCTCAAATAAAATGTGTCTGACATTAAAACACAAATCCTAGCAACCATTAAAATTCATTTCAATTATTTCTCATTTTAATGAAACCTACCTAATAATCAAGATCTGGGATAAAGTGTCCATATACAATTTCTAGGCTATGAGAAATGTGTTCTAGGCATAAATATAAGCTACCAGTAACAGCCAAGCCATATCATCCTCTTCCACTTCTCTGTGAAGCATATTTCAGATGTTTAAGTAATGTTAGGATCTGCCTGGTATATGACATGCTATTGTACATGATTGGGAAGAACCATCCTTTTGGAAATGCAGCTTATTTAAAGACATATTTCCAATAGCTTTGCAATTCTATCTTTTGATAGATGTACTAACAACTATGAGGCAGCAAGCATACTTTTCTCAAACAGCATTCTGAAAACATATATATATATATTTTAATTCCTTCAATATTTTAACCCAAGTGATGCTGCTACTATAGAAACAACTCAAGAACGCTCTGTATTTCTAGAGGAACAGTGGAAAAGTGAGTTTTCACATTCAATTGCCAGGGCCCTGCTTTCACTGAAGTGTGAGAAGGGTGTTCAGGAGTGTAAAACAGAAGTACTCTATCACAATGTCAATCTATTTAGATCATTAATAGAAGGGGTTTGTACACGTTATTGAAATATGCAGCACAATGTTCAGTCTCCAAGAAAGAAAACCATTTGCAACACATTGCAAGAAGTTTGGGTCAGACTTTTACGGGGCCTCCAAGCAATGCTATTGCAATCAATAGGAACAATAATAGGATCAAGGCCTCAACTCAGCATTTGTGAAATCTACAATATCAGAGCTTATGTTAGGATTTTATTGAGAACATTTGCCTGCGTAAAGGCCCAGAGATAGCATCCCTAAGCATCTGTGATATGCTACAATCAACTGCCACAATTATGATTTGTTTTTACAGGAAATTAGCATTACACAGCCAAGGATAATTATATACAGCTGGGGTTCTGTAAATTCCTTACCGTTGTAGGAACGGTCTTATTTGCTTCTTGATAGACATGTTGTTCTGAGACTAAACTGCGAGGGAAATAACCAACTGTCCCCATATGGTCTTCATACTCTTCTCCATAAACCTTCAAGCAAGATGTATAATTAGGTGCATTAGAACAGTCCTTATTTGCTTTAAGCTAATTCGTAATTTAGCCAAAAGCAGCTACTTAGCAGTGTTCATAACTCTGATTCTGGATCTCCTAGTTCCCCAATTAATCAGCACATTAAATGAACTATTAACACAAGTTCTAATACAGATAGGTATTTATTTTCTGGAATAAAATAACAGCACAGCTGTTGTTTTTGGTTTTTTTTTTAGGTTTGTTTTTTCTTTAAATGAATTCAGCTAATATTACTGTTTGCTTCCTTTATATTTAAGTTTTACAAATAACTGTAATGAAAGTTTTTCTCCTGCAGTTTCAGCAAGCAGCGCAGAAAAGAACTGCTGAGCCCTTTTACTTAGGTTAAGTTCATAATTACTGAATAGTTAATGAAGAAAATTTGACTTCACTACAAAAACCAGAAGAAACAAAAAAAGGCCCTTTAGACTCCTCAGTCAGTTTAAACACTCAATCTGAAAACTAAGTTGCTACTTTAAAACCCACAGTAGCTCAACATCAACATATTTTTGTCAAGAAATAAATGCTACTCTATTTCTGGTTTGCTCATATACACAGGAATCTCATCTTACACTTCCAGCCCAGAATTCTCCAGATTCTTTTTCTTTCACTAGTTTTGAGTAAACATAAATCAACTGCCCTTTTTTAATATTAATGAATCTGCAGTCTGGAGCATTATAATCCTCTTCTGCTCTGACAAGGGAAATGGTGTCTAGGAAAAAGAAATAAAAATCAAGAATGAGAAGGATGAATTTAAATACATGCTTTTATAAAGAAAAATATGGAAGTGTGTGGATGCACACATGTAAAACCATTTCTACAGGCAAAAGTAGGTTATTCTGAAATTAATGTCTGCCAATAATTTGTCCTGCTCGTTTTTCCATCTCCAGTAAGCAGAATAACAGCTTCAGAATGCGTCATTTAATCCTAACCTAAGTTACAATCCTTCTGTCTCTTCTCTACTCTTACCTTTCACTCATGAGAAGGGTCCCTTAGAAAAGTCATTCTGCAGTAAAATGGGATTTGATGCTCCACATTCATCTTCCCACTCTATTTTGACAGACCAGTTTAAAGATGAGCTAAAGAAGCAGAGTAGTTTTCTGTCACACTAAGGCTTCCAAGCCCCACAGCTGTTTTTGGGAATGTATTCTAATTAAAATTAAAACAAAATTACTCACAGAGACAGTCGTCATCAGCACACAGCTTCTTGCTGGCAAGCTTGTCCATAAAAATTCCAGTAGCAAATGGATTCATTAATCCAAGACACAAAAATAAGATAATGAAATAAACACGTTGTGTCATTTTTCTTTGCTGCTGCACTTCCCAAATGCACACAGTACCCAGTGATCTCTATCTTTTATGGAACAGCCAAACATCTGGACAAACACCTCCGACCAATGGGAAGGAACCATGGTGACATTCCAATGCAACAAGAGGAGCCGCCGGCAAGAGGAAAACCTCAGGTTGCACTTATGCAACAGAATCCTTTCCCAAACCCATTCTGGAGCAACTGTATTACTTAAATAATTTAAGCTTTCCTCCAATCATACCATGGTCTTAATCTTATATCAAGCAAAATTTGTTTGAGAATGAAAAATTAAGGCAGATCACAACAAACAGGGAAGAAAATTATATCCTTTCAAATCCTTAAGTCCCTTATTCTCACAATCACACACTAACATATGTAATTGTCCCCGTGGACCATAAACTCTCCACAGCAGCAATCTCCTCATGACAGTCTGTAGAAATGCCATACAGCAACACGAAACATAGATGCAAATATAACTCAATAAAAAAAGTTTTTCAACTCAGCAATTTAAGTTTGAAATCTAGAATTCAAGCACTGCTACTTGTATAGGTAAGATTTCTTTAACACAGGCAAACACAGAAAGAGAGCAGAATACACAGGTTAAGCAAAGACAGTGACCATCTCCCGTTTATTCACGTAGCCAAACTCAGCTGAGAGCTCACAGACATGACACTGAATGGTACCATAAGCTGACTTAAGAGGTCCTTGTTATGTCTTAGAAAACATGTAACATTCATCTAACTTCCCTATATTTTCAAAATATGAGAAAAAGTAGTATTTTCATTAAAATAGATGCACATGCCCAAAAGAGAAAAACTAAGTTATTATATACACTGTATAAGCTGTTCACATCACAGTTGTCATGCTTCAAAGAAGCTGATCATAAAACCAGTCCTTAAAAATGACCAACAGCAATGCTGCAGTTCCCCAAACAGCAGTTAATCAGTGCTAACTGCATAAGATAAAGTTCATGACAAAACATATTTACTTTTATTATTTACAGCTGCACAAAAAATTTTCACTTGCAAGTCTTCTAAAATTGTGAATTCACTAAAAAGAATGGAAAATGCATATACAGAAATACAGAATTAACACAGCTGTGGAAGGGCATCATCTTCTACGCTCACATTACATTGCAAGATGAATTTGTTTTCAGTGCATCTGAAACTGCTCCATAAAACTGCTTTTCTGCAAAGTATCTGTGAAACAGAGTTTTTATGAAAATCAATCACGCTTTCCTGGATGCAAAACATTTTGTCTAAATAACAGTCTTAAATCAGACCTCAATCACCTCACAGCACGACTGGGAAAAACACATGCTCTGCAGCCACAAGCTCACACAGCACAGGTAGGAAATGCACCAAGCTGCAGCAATAGAGGAAAAGGTACAGACTTCAACCTACTTCCTTATTTTCCAATTAATTTACTTCAGTAACAAAAAAGCCTCAACACTCACAAGGCAGCTACTGTGCTCATCTGAACATTTCTTCCTTGTAGTACCCAGTCTTAACACCGGCTGTTTGTCTGAACTACATCTGAAAAGTCACACTAACTTCATCTGTTGCCTCCTTGAAATGGTTGTTAGAGGACTCAGACAAAGCAATAAAGAACTGAGGAGTGGTGCAATGTGAAAAGCCACAATATCATTTCTAAAATACAAATCTTCAAGAGCCTGACTGCAGTTCTCCTACAACACCATGGAAAATCCAGCGAGTTTCACCAAAAATAGAGTTTAGGTTTGGTTATTCTCTAAAGCTAAAACATCTTTCTAGGTTTTCTTCCATCTTACACCATCTGAACAAAACATTTCAGCTTTTGAAGTTATTTTTTCCAATACTAAATTGGATGACTTCACTGCATTTAGAGTATTTCATGTCCAGCAAAACCCTTAAGTGGTTTAAACAAAAAAGGGGAAAAGAAACAAAACCACAGAAATACTAGGACATGCACTTTGTAAAGCCTGCCTAAAAATACACTGTCAAGCTTATCAGCAGTGTCTTTGGAATGAACCAGAAAGCTCTTCCTAAACCATTTATTAAAATCACTGCTAAAGATCAGACAATTGGAAAATCAAAACCAACCAAAACAAAACCGTAAGTTTGTCTATGCCTTCTATGCATGTACATATGTACTTCTATCAGCCACCACTGTACAGACAAAACCAAAAAGTTGAAGAGAGCTCTCAAATTTTAAGCAATTTCTACCAACACCTGCAAAAATTGAAAAAAAACACAATGATTTACTTTCTTTAAGTGACAAAACTATTCTCAGTGAAAAGCAGCTGTCCTCTTGATAGTGAGGCTGAAGACTGAGTGTTGCATTTATTCTGAACACGCTGACATTACACATTCCCACTCACGCTTTTTGCTCTGAAGACACATATAATTTTCCAGCACTCACTTCTGAGAAATGAAAGTCACCTTAGAAGTAGTCAAACCAATATTATGAATTAGCCCCCCGTGCAGCAATGGAAGGCAATATAATGCCTTCTACTAGGACAGGAGCACGCTTATAAAAGTACTCATTAAGATTTAGTTTAGAAAGCAATACAGAAGAAGTCAGATCACCCTGTCCAAAGACCAATGACATCTCAAGAAGAGCAAGATCTCTAAGAAGATGCTGCTCCTTCAGCTGCTAAACCTTAAATGAGGGTGAGGAGGGAGGACTCGAGCAAAGTGCATTGCTTGCACCTGACTTCTGTGGGTTAGCCATGCCTTCTCACCTGGTGCTCAATCACTGGTTCAGGCCATGACCTAGCAATTTTCATCTGCCACGCAAGCCTAAGAGATTAATAAGACAGATTCAATGAAAAACACAGTTTGAGAACAGCATAAGCTGAATTTATTTTATAAAAATTAGTATTCTAGCACAAAAAGTTACTATTCAGTAGATGCACAGAAGTCTTGCAACTGTGCTGACAGCTGCAGACATTTCACACAACAGTCTTATCTTTTCTGCACAGGACAGAAAACATGCTGTACTCATATTAAAAAAGGCAAAAAAAAAAAAAAAAATCAATACAAAGAATTCCAAAGAGTGTCTGGTTATTTCTTAGCATAAGTGATTTTCATGGCATGAGATGGAGTTATCTTGAATCCTTGGAGAGCATCTCGAGCAGCTCCTGCTTGACATTCATTTTCAAACTCCACAAATGCAATGTCGTGACGCCCAGGCACTAAACGTACTTCTTTGAATCCAGGAAACCTTTGAAATAAATTTAAGAAGAGTCAGATAGTGTTTTCAAGATCGAAAACTTACCCCCCTTCAGCACCCAGAAGACCCTGCCATAAGCATCTACCAGAATAATAGTTACTACCAACAAGAGATTCGATTGAAGAATTTTTATATTTCCAGTCCTTAGAACTTTGCCTCTCTTAAGGATCATTCTGCTGAAGCAATTTAATCAGTCTTGCACATCTGCAGAAGCAATTAAAGCTGTTTTTAAAACTGTTTCTGATGTCTTTAACATTAGTCACCAGCTTAATGCACCACAGACTGATAACAGATAACTTCTACAATCAAAATCGGTTTAAAAAAAAAAAGTCAGATTTGCATTTTGCACCCAATCATCTGTAAAGTTGGCAGTAACACAGAGAACTGAAATACCTTCAAAACCTCTCATTTCTAATAATTGACTAGCCAACTGAAAGTAAAAAAACAAAACCATAAAGGTAACGAAAGGAATCAAAGGCAAATTTTCTCCATTCAAAACTTACTGATTGAATAACATGGACAGCATCATCTCATTTGTTTCCTCAGGCAGGTTATTAAGAAAAAGAATATAGTTTGGTGGGTTATCAGGCACCTGCAACAAGAGAAGAGCAAAATTCAGCAGACTATCCACAGCTGTCTACCCTTCTAAATCTGCCTCCATTATTATTTGAATGAAGACTCACAAATCCCTCGTTTTGGCTGTACCACCAGAAGCTGGGCTTTAGGATACCTTCATGCAATGTGCAGACATAGATGTTGGTGCTTTTTTGTTTTTCTGCTTAACAGCTGATACTGCAGTACTCCACCATACTAGATCTCAGCACTGCCACAGTTAAGAAAAGTGTAGTGCCACTTTAGATTTCACAGGCCATCCAAGATATCTGTGTGAGGACATCAGCTTGGAAAAAGGCCTTCCACATCTTCTCTGATGAAGTAGCTGGAAGCCACGATAAACACCCTGTTCATCTACAGCAGAACTGAACTACTTTTATCTTTGGGGCAACTGAAACCCACTGAAAACACATCGTTTTACTACAGTGTACTATTAAAATGTATTGGTTACAGACTCCATTAGATGTTAAGCTTCAGAATCTCCAGAAGATTTGGTCACAAGAACAAGCATTACCTGCTGATTCTGTGGTGAAGTCCCAGGGGCACTGGTTGAATTTTGTGTTGCTCCCTATTAAGTAAGAGCAAAGTAGTTTTTAGAAGATATTTGGTTAGAGATAAACACACATCACCATATTTGTGTACAGCTCAAGCAGTGTAGGAAAGATGGCTTTTTTTATTTTTTTTTAAGCTGCAACCCAAAGAACATTTATTTATCAAATACTTGCCCTAGGAAAACAACATGTGGACTGCACTGAATCCCCAAACCAGATAATCAAAGAATAAAAATTGAACTAATGACCGAGTCAGCAGATACAGCAGATCACTACTCATCCATCATTAAACTCAGCTTAGTTAGACAGGAAGTAGCTTTTGAAAATGAAGACCTACACAAGACATGATAGACATGAGAAAAAATTACATGCTTCCACTGAGGACTCCAGTTTAGCAAGCATAACTAAAGCTATTAGCATTATAAATAAAAACAATTACTTCTAGGAAATCAGTATATAAGAATTGACTTTTAATAAATCCTGAGGAAACTGAATTTTCTATGCAGAAAAAGTTATTTTTACGATCACATCTCTCTCCTTGACAACAAACAGTGTCTTTGCAGAAACAGTAATTAAGTAAGACAATATTCAAACCCTGTGCCTTGGTCTTTTTTTCTGTCTTTGCAAATAAATTGCTAAATGTTGTTAGCCTTGGTCAGGGCAAGCATTACAGGAGATATATTCCACGCCAATTCCTTCTCATCTAATTGTAAATGGAACATATTGTTCCCTTCTACACACCTGGCATTCTACATATATGTACATGCTACTTTCTACATTGGTTTATTGTACCTTTGCTCTATACCTTAGTTTTCATCTTACAATAGGAATGAGGAAAAAAAAAAGCAATAAAAAGTGTTAAAAAATAAAAACACACATTAAGGACTACATAATCACATCCCCTCCTGCAGCTTTAATGGCTGCTAAAGAGCAGTACAAATCAACAGACAACAATTCAAAGACCGTAAAGTACCAAAATACTTAGTCCTAAAAAAAGAAAAAAAGATAAAACATTACATTAACAAAAAAATGGACACACTGTTTGAATTTTTTTTCTCCTTCTTTCTTTAAATACAGAAGCTGCTTACCTGAATTATCTTTTTATTTGCTGCATTAGCTGATTGCTCCAGAGACTTGGCCTTCTTCTTTTCCTTCCT